GCCGACCTGTTCCAGAATGGCTACAACGCTGGCATCTAACCAGCAATGTGTAAAATTGCCCAAGTATGTCCTGTAAACAGAAAACAGGCTAAATTTAACCCAGCCAATTATCATCCACATAGTATACTCCTCATCATCAGGAAAGTGATGGAAGGTGTCATCAACAGTGCTATCAAGCAGCACCTGCTCACAATAATCTGCTCGCTGATGCTCAGTTTGGGTTTCACCAGGGCCACTCAGTTCCTGACCTCATTTCAGCATTGGTCAAAACATAAACAAAAGAGATGAAATCCAAAAGTAAGCTGTGAGTGACTACCCTTGACATCAAGGCCACATTTGACCAAGTATACAATCAAGGAGTCCTGGCAAAATTGGAGTCAATGGGAATCAGGGAGAAAACGCCACTGTTTGGAGTCGTACCTGACACAAAGGAAAGCAGTTGTGGTTATTGGAGGTCAGTCATCTCAGCTCCAAGACAGTTCCTCAGGGTACTATTGTTGGCCCAACCATCTTCAGCTACTTTGATGACCCTCATAAGTTCAGAAGTAGGGATGTTTGCCAATGATTGCATAATGTTCAGCACCATTTGTGACTCATCAGATACTGAAGCGGTCCATGTCCAAAAGCAGAATGAGATGGACAATGCCCAGGTTTGAGTTGAAAAGCAGCAAGTAACATTGGTGCCACACAAATGCCAGGCAATGGCCATCTTCAACAAGAAACAATCTAACCCTCGTCTCTTGACGTTCAATGGGATTACCATCACTAAATCCCTCACTATCAACACCCTATGGGGTTACCATTCACCAGAAACTGAACTGGATTAGCAATATAAGTTCTGTGGCCACAACAGCAGGTTAGAGCTTATGATCTTTTAGTGGGTAATTCACTTCCAAATTTCCCAGAGCCTATCCACTATCTATGAGGTACAAGTCAGGAGTAAGATGGAATATCTCTCACTTGCCTGGATATGTGCAGCTCCAACAACACTCAAGAAGCTTGACACCATCCAAGACATAGAATCCCACTTGATTGGTACCACATCCACAAATATTCACTCTCTCCACCACCAATGCTCAGTAGCAGCAGTGTGTACCATCTACAATTTTCTGCAGAAGTTTACCAAGGATTGCACCTTAAACAGCACCTTTCAAACCCAAGACCACTACCAACTAGAAGGATATTGGCAGCAGATAGATGGGAACGCCACCACCTTCAAGTTCCCCTCCAAGCTACTCACCACTCTGATTAGGAAATACATTGCCGTTCCTTCAGCATCGCTGGGTCAAACTCCTGGAACTCCCTCACTAACAGCATTGTGGGCCTACTTAGGCCAAATGGACTGCAGCATTCCAAGAAGGCAGTTGACCACCCAGATATAGTGTCAGAGCAGTGTATAGTTTCAAATCAGGATGGTATGAGACCTGCTCAGGAACTTTGAGATGCTAGTTTTCCCAGCTGCCTTTATCCTTCTGGTTAGTAGAGATTGGAGGTTTGAAAGGTGCTGTTAATGGATCCTTGGCCAGTTGTTGTCATGTGGATGATACACACTGCTGCCACTGCGTATTGGTTTTGGGAAGTATATATTTAAGGTGGTTAAAAGGATGTCTGTAAAGTTGACTGTTTTGTCCTGGTGGTGCTGCATTCATTGAGGCAAGTGGAAAATATTCCGTGACATTCCTGACTTATGGCTTGACGATGGTGGATGGGCCTTGGGAGTCGGGAGAGGAGTTACTTCCTGCAGAATTCCCAGCATTTGTAGCCACAAGGTCAAATGTTCTGTGGGGAGAAAACAGAGGTAAAGTTTCAAGTCTGGTGACTCTTTATCAGAACCCTGACTTCTGATGAATAGCCACAGAACTCGAAATGTTAATCGGTTTTCTCCGCACAAATGCTACAAGACCTGCTGAGTTTCTCCAGCAATTTCTGTTTTTGTTTTAGATCTCCAGCATCCATAGTTCTTTGTTTTATCCAAGGCCAAATCTTCTGATTTGAGTCAAATTTCTCATTTCCAATACAGATCAGACTACCCTTCTGTGTCGAGACAAGCACTTGAAATCTTTGTGGAAGCCACACAACCTTTTAGATAGCTGGTGCATTGGGCTAAATTAAGAGGTGACATATTACAAACCCATCTAATGCCAAGAGATATCTGACTCAGTTTGAGAAAGGATGCTCTGGAGTGCAAACCAATACAAACATTTATTTTCCCCACTTCTTTGATCTGCTACCTTAGTGAACCTAAATGCAGTTTTCACCATCATACTCCTATGGTAATATAACAGAGAAAAGGCACATCAACTTCAGGAAATTTGCCTGAAAGAGGTACCATCATGATATTTAACTGCAGAAGAGCTAATTACCTTCAAAACAATTAAACTGCAATTTGTTGCTAAATTACATGCTTGAAGCTCAAGATCTATAGGTAAAATAGGCCAAGGTAGGCATATTCAGTATATTAGCTTGACTTTGACAATTTCAAACTCTCATGGTAATATCTGTAATAATCTCTGACCACCATCAAGATTCCATCCACCCTTCTGTTTATTAATTACATTATTCCAGCTGTATTTTAAAAGAATGCTTCTTTAAATCTTAAGTACCTCATGAAAGAAAGAAATACAAACTTCTTTAATTGAAAAAAAAAACGGAATCTGGAGGCTCAATTCTGTGTCTTTGTTTTATATATACGTCCTACTAGTTGACTACATAACAGGCAGTCCCAGGCTGTGAATGGGTTCCATTCTGGAGTCTGTTCACAAGTCAATTTCTACGCAAATCAGCAGACAATGCAGGACAATGTAAAGCAGCCATTCTAAGTACAGGAAATGTTTGTATGTCAGGCCTTTAAAATTACACCTCTGGATGGGATGGTGTTTGTAACTACGAACGATTGTAAGTCTGAGCATTTGTAAGTCGGATGTTCGCAAATCTGGGACTCCCGTAACAGTTGAACACATTCTTCACACTACTGCAACTATTAACAACCACTGCAGTGGTGATCATCATCCATTAGCAAAAAAAATCCTACTTTGAGATTTGGCATTTTTCTGAATATTAAATAAGTACATTATCCATACAATATCACTATTAGAGTTTAAAGCTACATTTATTTTAAATAGCTGTGAAGCTTGGATTTACATACTTTAGAGAAAAAAGTTGTGCAACTGGAGTGATGGTTTATAACTCACATTATTAGTGGGGGCACTGGTATTGTGGTCTCTTTAGTCTCTGGTGTTTCATTCAACTTAAGAGAAACATGCATGTGCTATGCAACCGGAAGATTACTTATTAACTAACTGGCTAACTAATTGGACAATTTTTGAGTTCACCTTGCCAATTCAAACAATTTTAAACACTAATGTGTACTGCCCTTCTCCTTGTTTTGTACCCGGTAGAGTTATAGAATGATAATGCACAGCAGGAGGCCATATGACTAGTCATGCCTTTGCCAAGTTGTTGAAAGATTTATCCAGTTAATCTCATTTTCTTGCTCTTTTCCCTAGTCCTGTACAATTTTCCAATCCAAGTATTTATTAATTTTGCATTTGAACATTATTACTGAATCAACTTCAAGCATTACATTCCAAATCATGTAAGCTTGTTATGCAACATCTTACCAACCTTACGTCATCCTGGTTCTTACTAATTATTTTAGATTTGAGAGTTTTGCTTGCCCAGCCTCTGCCACTAGAAACAGTTTCTCCTTATATACTGTATCAAACCTGTCATGATTCTATGAACTATGAATTCTACCTTAACCTTTTCCGCATTGTGGAGAACAATCCCAGTTTCTCTAGTCTCTCCACATGCAGGTCCTGCACCTCATATCATTGTAATAACTGCCCTCTGCAACCTGTCCAAAGCCTTCACAACCTCAACAATTTAGAATTAAGATTTTGTACTTTTTTCAGCTCAGGCTGTTTATCCATGTTCTTGCAAAAACTAGCCACAACTAAACTGAATCAAAGCATTCTAAAGTTGATGTTCTCCTCATTTGCCAAGTATGATGCATGGTGACTCAGTGGTTAGTGCTGCAGCCTCACAATGCCAGGGACCTGGGTTCAACCCCACCCTTGGGCAACTATCTGTGTGGAGTTTGCACATTTTCCCCGTGTCTGTGTGGGTTTCCTCTGGATGCTCAGGATTCCTCCCACAATCCAAAGATGTGCAGTATAGGTGGATTGGCCATGCTAAATTGTCCATAGTGTCCAGGGATGTTTAGTTTAGACATGGGAAATGCAGGGGTAGGGGAATGGGTCTGGATGGGATGCTCTTCAGAGGTGCGGTGTGGACTTGTTGGGCCAAATGGCCTGTTTCCACACTGTAGGGATTCTATGATTATCAATGGAAGACAAACAGCAAGTAAAGAATCCATGACACCTTTTGGGTGAAATTTTGTGTTCATAAACATGAAAGCATGTTAATGCTGATTCGCATATATAACCTGGAGTTGAGAAACACAGCTTCTTTTTACTGGCTGCACAATTTTTAGTGTTAGATTAGGAGAACTTCAAATCTTACTCTTTCTCAAGCTCAAAATATACCTAAATTGCAAATTGAGATAGCTACTACCTCTGGTACCAGTCTGAACCTTTTCTGTTTCTGACCAACAATACTATGTTAGTGGCCTCTCTGAGCCTCTCTAACTTCTCACAAACACAAAAACCCACCACCCTGCCTTGCCTGGAAAACATTCCCGTTTAGTCATACCACCATGATTATTCAATTTGAAAAATAAGTCAAATTCAACATAGAGAACTTACACAAAACCTTTGTAAATGTCACTTCTGTAACTTATACATAGAATATGAGCTTGAAAATAAAAGTCAAACATCTTAAAGTATTTGGAAGCTACCAGTTTAGCACTTCCATCCTAAGAAACCTAGCCAAACATCTTGTTCTACAAAATTAACCAATTGTACAAATTAGCTGGAATAATTAAAGCTGTACTCAAAATAAATCTTTATTTAAAATATAATTCGTCTTATATATTTCAGGAATCGATTATATCAAGCATTAGTTACTGCAATCATATTTAAATCTGCAAGACTCCAATAAGGTCAGTAAGATTTCATCTAACCAGCAGAGTTCCTGCTACCTGCCTCCCTGTAGTTAAGTATTAGTTAAAGTATAAATGAAGTCAAAAATTGGGCAGAACAAAGGAAACTCAAAATGATGATACTGTATTTATTATGTTCCTCAATTGAATTGTGTTTATCAAGAAATAGGAGCTAATTATTCAGGTCCTCCACCACCAACGCTCAGTAGCAGCAGTGTGTACTATCTTCAAGATGCATGGCAGAAATCCACCATGGTTCATTAGACAGCACCTCCCAAACCCAAGAGCACAACCATTTAGAAGGACAGGAGCAGTAGATACATGTAAAAACCCCCACCCGCAATTTCGCATGCAAGCCACTCACCATCCTGCCTTGGAAATATATCGCCGTTTCTTTGCTGTTGCTGAGTAAAAATCCTGGAATTCCCTCCCTAAGGGCATTGTGGGTTGACCTGCAGCACAATGATTGCAGTGGTTTGAGAAGGCAGCTCACTACCAAATTCTCAAGGGCAATAAGTGATGGGCAATAAAAGCTGCCCAGCCAGCAATGTCCACATCCCACGAGACATTAAGGAAAGTGCCGTCAGCAGCATGTATTTGGGGCCACTGTGTCATTACGTTACCAGTGAAGGGCAACCGTGCAATGCCAGTGCTTGGTTGGATGTTTGGCCAAGGTTTAAAGATGGTGCTGGTGCCAGGGATACCCGTCTATTCTGGGCTATCTGGGGTGGGTGCCGAATTCTTCCAAGACAGTAGAATCAGGCTAGCATTGGATGAGAGGGATCGATTGTTATATGTTTGGTAGTTAGTGAGGCAGTTTGTGACAATATAGCAAAAAACCTCTCTAGGCCTCATGGAGAGTAACTCTCTCTTTAAGACCTGACTGAAATTAACACTTAGTCAAAATATTGTAAGGTTCCGTCCAAAGACAGGTAACCAGAAAGTTTAAGAGCAGCTTAATGCATTGAAATTTAGGGAGAGAATTCTAGAGCTTAAGTCCTGGACAATTGAAGGAAGTGGTCATCAGTGGTGTGAACTAGAAAGTAATGTTGCACAAGAGGTCAGATTGAAAAAAAACGTAAAGAACTATATCAAGCACACAAACTGGTTAACCCCAATAATTTCTCTCTTGTTTGCTTCTAGCCAGCTTGTTTGTTCTTCAGCTGTTACAGTGTCCTGGCAATCTGACAGATGAAACATGCAACTGGGGCCCCATATGCCCACTTGGGAGAATGCAAAACTTACAAAGAGGAGCAGAGAGTTATCGCAGGTGTCCTGGTCATTGTCATATTGCACATAGCAAGCTCCCACAACACAATGACTGTTTTGTTTCCTACATTAGACAATGACTCACATTAGAAATACTTAATTGGTGAAGTGCTCTGATGACTATGAAAGATGTATAAATGTCAGTCTTTTCTTTGACAGATTTGGAGAAACAGATGGAGGTGATCCAGTTCCTCAAACCTGCTGCACTGTTATTTGATGGATAGCTTTACCTCAACTCCGCTTACCCACTTTTCTTTCATATCTCTTAATGCTGTCACCTAACAACAGACTCTCAAACGCAATATTGAAGCTTTCAATTGGCCGACATCCACAACCAATTGAGTATAGAAGTGTGAAAAACTGCTCCATGATTTCACTCTTAAAACTTTAAGTCCCTCCCAAAGGAAATAGTTTGCGTTTTGTCTCTCCTTTATCATTTTGAAGACTGCCAGTATAGTACATTTCAGCCTTTAAAATACAAAGAACTGCAAACAAAGTTTGTACAACCTGATGTTATTATTTAATCACTAAAGCTCTGGTATAATTATTATAAAAGAGGAAGTTAAAGGCTGGACAATCTGCAATACTAACCAGTTGACCAGTCCCATCAATGCACCTTCTGTTGGAATATTTATTTACTGTCGGACGGTATTGGATGTGAATCTATTCCATGGTGTCGAGGATGGAAATTTCCCAATAAAGGGGCCCAAACTCCACTGAGGTCTGCTATTCACAACATGGTGACAAGCGTATGGAAGTAGTCAACTGAGAGTCCGTCTCCAGGACTGCCATATGTGCAGCTTAGTAAGAAAGCCTGCAGCATTGAACCCCAGTAATCACCCCCAGTAAAATAGGCAATCCTGAGGCAGATAGGTTAGCGGAAGAATACCTCAAAATAGAGGCTGCAGAACATTTTTAAAGAGGCTCAAAAATGAATCATTAATATACAGACGCCACCCACTCCAGTGAAATGATTACATCTGAGGATATAGATCTAGTGTTAGGAGAATGCTCTGATGGCTCATCCACCTGTAGCTCAGAAGCCACCTGCTTCAAGTTCATAGACTCCAAGCTCCCTAGGTCTGATGTTGGAGAAGGTCAGTCAGCAAAGAATAAAGTCCTTTAATTAGATCACTTGGCTGCCCGTCTCCAAGGAGCACAATATCTCTTTCTCTCGAACCTTGATGGAAATCTGGGTCATGATGCAGTGCCATCCTGATGGGGTTTCCCTTTTCTTTCCCTTTCTTCCCTTTTTCTAGGCCACATGGCCTCTAAGGCTTCCTCCAACAAGGCCAGGAAGATTCCGACTTGAGACAGTGATCAACTGGTTCTGTCAAGTGTGCTGAAGGATTTGGAGCAGTTACCTATTTCACAACCCACCAATACTAAATATTGAACAAGCTGGTGTTCAAACATGTAAATGTCGGGTTATCATTCTAAAGTTCTGCTACAGATGTATTAATACTGAGATCTACGACATGAGAAGCCGAGAATGGTTTTTCATTAAATCCACACTTATTATACGGAGAACTTTTTATTTAATTCAGCTTTGTATCATTCAAATAGTGATTTTGTTAGTTAGGCTTTTCAGTTTGTTTCATATCGAGACAGACAACAAGCTGAATGATATTGTTAATGAAATATCGAAGAGTTCGGGTCTGCTGGCCCCCTAGTGGCTCAAGAAATTGTAACAGTGTAATTTCATAAAAGGCAATGCTCTTTTCAATTCATTTACGTTCGATTCAGTTCTAAAACTATAATGAGATTTACTGAGTTCTGAATGTTGGGTCTGAATAGCATGGCTGCAATTTCATCAAAAGGACCAGCCATATCACAAACCATGAGAATAAAATTTGAGTGGTTAATGGATCTTATCTGAATGGAAACACCATTTCCTAAGCCTGTATCATTTGTTTACATCAATAATATATAAGTTAAGCATATTATTGGTTCAATAAAATGGAAACAGTCTCAATGTCAGTCCTTGCTTCCCAATGTTTCTGACTGTCAAGGCAGCTACTGTAAGGTTACATGTTTGAAAGCTGTTTTAAATGAGATTACTCAGGTGAGACAGACACAACAATGGTTAGTAGAAGACTCTAGCTGAACACATTAAAAACTACTTTCTCATGGCAATAGATGTAAAAAAACACTCAGATAATCGGCCGGTTACTTCTTTCTATAATATTTGGCCTTGAGCTGCTCTGTCAATTTTACAGAAGTATTATGGTGCTATTATGCCTTTAAGTATTTAAGTATATTAAGTATTATGCCTTTGTATAAGACCTCTAAAATAGAAACACCCTCCTAGGGGCTTTATAAAAATTTGAAGGAAAATATGAGCATCAAGAATAATAGCATACGGATTAGGAGCAAGAGTCAGCCACTGTGCCCCTGAGCAATTTGAGCCTCCTCTGCTATTCAATAAGTCACGTATTAACATTCGTGCCTTACCCCAGCGATGCTACAAACCCTTGGTTAACAAGAATTTGTCTACTTCTGTCTAAAAAATATTCAAAGACTCTGCTTCCAGTATCTTTTGAGGAAAAGCATTCCATGAGAAAAATGTTTTCCTAATCTCTGTCTAAAGTTGGTGACTTTTTTTTTTGAAAACCATGACCTCTTGTTCTTGTTTTGCCCACCACAGGAAACATCCTTTCCACACTCACTCTCCCATGACCCCTTAGGATTTTTGAGAGTGGTCTTACTAATGATTTGTAAAAATGAAGCATTACTGCCTTACTTTTATATTTATTCCCCTGCAATAAATGATAACATTCTATTAGCTTCCTAATTACTTGCTGTACCTGCCTACTAACATTTTGCAACTCCTGCACGAGAACATCTGGGTCCTTTTCCAACTTAGATCTCTGCAATCTTTGAACATTTGGATAACATACTTCTTTTTCATGCTTCCTGCCAATATGAATACTTCACATTTTCCCACACTATGTTCCATTTGCCAGACCTTTACCCATTCACTGAACATATCTATAACCCTTTGTCATCTCTTCATCATAACTTACATTCCAACCTGTCTTTGTGTCAACAGCAAATATAACAAACATACCTTTAATCCCTTTGTCCATGAGATTTATTTAAATTATAAAAAGTTGAGGCCTCAGCACTCACCCTTGTGGCACAACACTCATTACATCTTCACAAGCAGAAAATGACCCAGTTATGCCTACAGTCTGTTTGCTGTTAGCTACTTATTCATCTATGAATGCCAATATGTTTTCTCCTGCAACATTAGCTTTTATTTTCAATAATTATCTTTGATGTGGAACTTTAATAAATGTCTTCTGGAAATCTAAGTACAGAATATCCATTGGTTCCCTTTTATAATCAGCCCTGTACTTCTTAAAGAACTCTAATAAATTGGTTAAACATGAACTCACTTTCACAAATGCAAACAGAGACAGAAATGGCTGGGAAAACTCTGCAGGTCTGGTAGCACCTGGGAGAGAAAGCAGCATTAACATTTCAGGGACCATGACCTTTCTTTAGAGTGATTTAGATCTCGTAAAATGGCAGTGGAGTAGGGCTTCTGAGTCCAGGGCGCATCTGCTCGTCCGCGTTTCCTTTCAATTCTTCTTTTTTCTCTCCTTTTCTTGTGTTTTAAATTTTCTTCTTTTATTTTACTTACCTCTTGTGGAAGAGCTTGATCATGGAGATGGCATTGGTGGTGGCGAGTGAATCCAGCATGGTGGCAGCAGCGGAGGGAAGTTTGGGTCCCCTGTGGCGTCTGTGTCCAGTGCAGATTCATAGAAGCAGTGGCGGAGGTGAGTTTGGGCTCAGTATGAGACACAGCAGCATCGGCAGTTGCTGCATCCGTGAGGTGGACCCAAAGCAGGCTCATGGTTGTGGCAGAGTCAAATTTGGGCTGGTGCTGTGCCCGGTGACATCAGTGGCCTGTGCATTGGCGAGGTACAGCTAGGACTCAGTGGCGAGGGCGTCGGCAGAGGTAAGATGGTGGCAGCATGGTGGAGGGCACTCGTGCCTGGCCACAACGCCCATGGCGAGCATTTAACAAGAAGGACTGCAAAGTTAAACACTTTTGCTTTATTTCTTTATTTTCTGCCTTTATATCCTGTGTTTTGGTTTATTTTTCTGTGTTTTAAGGTGGCGCCAGAGAGTGGTGATGCCATACAACACTTTTCACTGTATTTTTAACAAAGTGACAATAAATCAGTCAAATCAAATCAGGGTGGGAAGTGCATGTGGGCATGCACTGCTTTGAAATTTTGGCACCAAATTTCCAAGATGAGTTTCATGTTGGAAATTCTTGGTATATACTTTGTATTTGTTGCATGATAAATTCAAACCTGCAGATTAATAAAGCGAGATTAGGTAGTAATAAGAGTGATAATGAGCAATAATTCATGTTAACAGGTCTCTCCCTGCTCGCCAGCAAGAATTTCATCTCAATGTCTGGAACACAGATTGAAAATGCAACTTGTTTCTCCCGACATCAAGAAAGGCCTTGCTGGGACTTTCCACACAATTGTCCCAAATTTTTCACACCAGCCCACATCATTCAGGGCCTGGGAAAATTCTGCTTGTTCTCTGTCTCCCTCCTTTTCAAAGTAAAAGATTTACATTCACTATTTCCCAATCTAATGGGACTTTCCCCAAACCTGGGAAATTTTAAGATATCAGCAGATGTGACCAAAATTTTGTTGAAAGAAGTGGATATTTGTTAAAGGAGAGAAGTCAGAGAGATTAAGAGAACAACAATGTTGAGGTCAAGGGTGTAGGGGCACACGACAAGCTGGAATGAGAAGAATGCAAAATTTATTTTTGCCAGGGAAGGCCAAAGTATAGTGAAGAAGGAGTTAATAAAAATGAGGAAGAGTTTCACCATGGAAAGATTAAAAGAATGAGTCTCTAAATTGAGGCTTTGAGGGACTGTGCAAATGTCAAATTTTGAGGATGGAGGTATGAAGAAGCAGGATTCGAGATCAGTTGATGTTTATTGAATTCAGAAGAGGAGGATGACAAGGTAAATATTGATACGATCAAGTGAAGAATTGACAAAGACATTTGTGTGGCTTTCAGCAGTAGAGAGGTTGAGGCACAGGTACACTAATTGTTCAAAATAGTGTTGGAAGTGGGCAGTCTTTACGATGGAGATTATACAGTGTTCAAAGATTAGATAAAGTCAAGGATGGTCCTGGAGTTGGAAAAAGTTTGGATTGTCTTTAAAAAGTGGCTCAACTGCAAGTCAAAAGCAAGGAAAGACAGTTTATGGCTGAGTAGAAAAACAATTGAGTCTTTGCTGGAACAAATTGCAGCTTTTCAAGGAATAAGATGCCAGCAATGGGAAGTCTTAGCTGCTGATTAGAGAGCCGGCGAGAGCCGTGCATTGCTTCGTTATAGAAAGACCTGTTACTACGTGCCAATGAATACCTAACAGGCGAGCAGAGGGCCTATCCCCAAGATCACACCCCTGGTGGTGGAACAAGCAGCACTCATTGTGGAGGCGGTGACTGTTACTAGAAAAATACACACCTAAGTTCTAAGACTCAGATCACAGGTGTGTGGTAGACAGAACAGTCCACAGAGTGGGAGAATTGACAGTGAAGGTAGGACAGCAAGGACCTGACCCATCTCTCCAGATACCAGGTTTCTTAATCAGGCACTGTGCTTTGAAACAATGTGAGCTACAAAGTAAAAACTCCAAGGTTAACTCATCACTCTTGTCACATGGAAAATTGTCCTGTCCTTATGGTGAGCCTTTAACTGGGTATTAATTGCCACAGAGACATTAACTGTATGGTGGGTAAGGGTGTTGGAGGAAGGTTGGTCATGGGTCATTTTACCATGGAATTAAGCGGGTCAGTGGCAGAAAGATGCTAGTGTCCAAACCTGCTACCCTTCTGGTTGATTAAATGCTTTCCCTACACCAAACTCACCACAGCGAAGATCACAAGATTTAGCTCTTCAAACAGAAATTTTGCTAGAACAAAAACGAATGCTACGATCATCGTCAGGATGATGTCACCAAGGACAGCATGAATATGAGGTGCCCAAGGGCAGTTTATTGGACAGAATCCTGTAGTGACAATGCCGAGTTGAGCATCCCAGGCTGTTGTCTGAGGAAAAGGAGGAGATATCATGGTTCCTGGCACTGATTTCTAAATTCTCTGGCCACAAGTGAGTGACTGAGGATTGGAGGACCACTAATATTCTGCCTTTATTAAAAATGGAGATAGGGATAGATCAGGAAATTACAGGCTTGTCAGTCTAACTTTAGTGACAGTGAAATTATTAGAAAGAATTCTGAGGAACAGAATATAACTGTTCTTGGACAGACACAGATTTTTTGGCCTGCTGTGTTCATCCAGCCCTGCACCTTGTTGTCTCGGATTCTCCAGCATCTGCAGTTCCTACTATCACAGATTAATCAAGGTTAGTCAAGATAGATTTGTTACGGGAGGGTCACGTTTGACAAACTTGATTAAATATTTTGTGGAGGTAACCAGGAGTGTTGACGGGAGTAATGCATTTGATGTAACCTACATGGACTTTAGCAAGGCTTTTGATAAGGTCCCTCATGGCATACTGGTCAAGAAAGTAAGAGCTCAAGGGAACCAAGGCACAGTGACATGTTGGATCCAAAATTGGCTGAGAGGCAGGAAGCATAGGGTGACAGTAAGTCTGTTTCCAGTGGCGTTCTACTGGGTTTGGTACTAGAGTTCTTGCTGCTTGTGGTGTAGATTAATGATATGGATTTAAATGTAGGGGATGTGATCAAGATATCACCATGGATAACACAACAATTTATAAAGTGGCAAATAGTGAGGAGGATAGCTGTAAACAGCAGGAGGGTATCAACAGACTGCTCAGTCGGCAGAGTAGAGATAACTGCAATTCAATCCAGAAGAGTTTG